GGATTTCGTGATGGGTTTTGTTTCGCAGCAAAGCCTCAACACCCTACCCGAGGATGATTTTATCCACATGACCCCAGGATGCCAACTTCCACCTGAGGAGGACGAGGAGGGCACCGAGGTGAAGGGAGATGGAAAGGGACAGCAATACAACACCCCCCAGAAACTTGTTGGGATCGCCGGGACTGATATCGTCATTGTTGGGCGTGGGATTCTCAAAGCTGGCGACCCTCAAGAGGAGGCCGAGAGGTATCGCTCTGCAGCTTGGAAGGCATACACCGAGCGAGTTCGATGAAAAAAAGATATGAAAGGAATTCGGTCACGGCCCATATTTCTACCTGTGCCCAAAAATCAAATGAAAGTTAAATACGATATTCCCCTTGAGTTAGTTCCGTCTTGTTGTTTTTCTTCTTCAGACTATGGCGCTATAAGCCCTTTTTGGTCATGTATTGGGATGGCAGGTGTTTGATCCAGGTTGGAAATAATATATAAGGATCACAGTTTCTTGATCACGGTAGGGAGTTATGTACATGATACCTCGTTCAGTTTACAGGGGCAAATATAAAGTGTGTGCACACCCTGGTCAAGTTCCACAGCCAGCTTCAAGCAGTACCATGATAGACCTTGCTCAGGCGAGACTACGGTTAGAACGCCCGTCAATACCTTCGGCTCAGCAACTAAACGAGCGGGACGCATCAATGAAATAGCCATCGGAGGCCTAAAATTTCAAGACGCCTTTTGCAATGGAGGCAATGGGGCGATTTCTGCATAAGTTATTTGCTAGCTGGTCACACTCGGGTATACGCGCATGGTGGCAAACTATGCTGAACGGCCCCTCCTTGGGCCAATTCAAACACGGCACGTCAGCTTTAGATTGCTTGCGATTGGTGACTGGGAGAGCGGCTGATGGATGATGCATAGCCTGGCCTGAGCAGCTCAGCTTTGTCTACCTAAGATTTGATGAAAAGCGTACCCCCAATCACTTGAGACAAAAAGCTCAGGCTGGGCCAATGGGAGCCAATTGGACCAACGGAACCGCCCATCTCTGGCGCGGAGGCGCTTTGTGAAACGGACCGGCCTCTGGGAGATAGGTACTTTGTAGGTATAGAGATGCGTAGTTCAGGGGGCCATCACATATCACAAGAATATGTACATGGCAGCTACATGATCAATACTAATCACAGTGCAATCGGGGAACCAGCTTGCAGGCCGTGTGCGTCGCTGCGTGAATCCGGAGTAGCACCAACGCAGCTAGTCAAGCCACTGTCAGGCGACAGATGGAATGGGCATCCACAGCAGCAATGCCGTATAATGTACAGCATATACCGTCTGCCTAAGGTAGGTATGCGCACGAGAATAGCTTATGCTTGGCCTTGTCATAGATTGGCAATCAAGACAGGTTTGCACTGCAGCCCGGAGCTCTGCTGCTGGTATCTCACAACCCCAGGTCAGTGCCTTATTTACGTACGTGCTTGTATTCAAGACGCTCCATCCCACGACACTGTGCCTGAAAACAGGTTGCATCGAAACAAGGACGCCAGTCAATGAGGCGTTCGCCCTAGTGGCACACCAAATCTCCACATTGTCGCGAACGGGAAGCAGTGTATTGACAATTCTGCTGCCTGCGCGTCCAGAGGCTGGCCGCAGGAGAGGTCATCAGGTCAGCTCCCTGCCGATTGACATTGTCAATTTAATTATAGGTGCCTCAGCTCACGGGCCCCACCGCACTTGCATTCAGCGGCTCGCCAGCGCCTGCACGTACTTTTCCCAGGACGGAGGTAGGCAACGTCTTTTTTCTTTTTGCTGGCTGCAGACGTCCCTAAGTTAAGCCACCGTCAAAATAAAGACCGCTAAAATAAGGGAAAATCACAATAGCACCGGTACACAATTAGCAGGTTGGTCCCGGGCCAGGTTTCAAGGTTCCTTGGCCGGTGTTCGATAAGCTCTGCCATCCAATAAAATTGTGGGGACGAGATCTTTGAATTAACATACACTTTTGCGCTTTGAATAAACCACATTCTAACAACCAGGATTTTTCTTCTTCTTCTTCTCTGCTCTTCACTTTCTCCCATTCTCTTTGTTAAATGTAATAACTGCCTGGAAAAGCACCCAGAAGCTTTATCTATAAACCGTTCCGTGCCACTTCTTCATCCGCGGACATCTACTGCTTTTCACGCGATTGCAGAGATCCGCCTTTTTTGCTCTCGAATCGACGTCCCATTTGCTGCATCCGCCATTGAATTGTGGTTGCGTTTGCCCTGACCACTGACTCTTCACAGTCAACCACCTAAATCACACTTTTCCTTCTCGCATCTGAGCCTGCATCCAGTCTGCTAAATATTCGCTCTTTCCAAAAGTCAAATCTGTTTGGTGTGTTACAGGAAACTTTGGAAATAGCGTGATTTTAAAGGAAAAAACGGGCAGAGGGAAAAAAAAAAGTCTTTTTTTTCTTCTCGGCCGTCATTCATTATCGAAAAAAAATGGCACCAGAAACGGAGTCCACAGAATTTATCCAACGGTTTCACGATATTCAGTTCAACCAGGATGCTTCAAACAAATTAATCAAAGTAAGGGGCCATATCTCATAACGCTCATGGTCGTTATTATCATTATTTTTCAGAAACATTTTCGGAAAGCTCACCTTTTCTCAAGGACCTGATCACATATTGCAAGCACGTTGAGACACTCACGAGCGAGAACCTGCGCCTCTCCAAGGAGAATGATGGTCTGAAAATCGACCTTGCCGGCGCTGCGGAGTCGAGAAGGCAGCTTCAGCAGAGAGCGCAGGTTTATGAAAGTGAATATTTTAGACTTAGACAGGGTCATGTGGGTTCCTCCTTGCCGGTGCTTATGGGGGGGTTATCTTTAAAACATATTACTGACTTGGCCCATCCGCAGGTTTCTAACCCTTATATTGCAATTCTCATTGATGGAGATGGCCTTGTTGTACGTCAACTGGTTTCCCTTACACCTTTTGGGGGCTCCTTTGCTGGGATTGTCGGTCAGCTAACATAACCTCTGCGCAGTTTCAAGACAAGTTCGTGAAAGGAGGCGTCGAAGGAGGCAAGAAAGCTGCGCAGGCTCTGCGAGATGCCGTTGCTGAGCAGTGCAATGAGATGGAAATTTCAGCCAAGGTCGTGACCAGTATTAGGACCCTGTCCAAAGCCCTGATTCAAGATGGAGTCATCGAGCACTGGGCGGAGCTGAAGGATTTCACCCTGGGCTTCACACAGTCGCAACCCTCATTTGAATTTATCGACGTGGGCTGCGATCGTGAAAGCGCAGAGACAAAGATCAAGGGTAAGTTAGCTCGGCTCGTTCAACACTCAGCTTTGTCCTCAGACTCAGACCACTGACCCATGGCCGGCAGAAACTACAAAATGGCATTTACAAAATCTCAATTGCCAGCAAGTCCTCCTCGGTATATCCCACGAGGCCTCGTATGCTCCGTTCCTCAACGATATACTCCAAAATGACCTGTCTCGCCAGCGCGTCACCGTGCTGGAAGGTGTTCCTACTGTCAAAGAACTGGTTGCTACCCGGGTCAACGTCTTCCGCATGAAGCATGATATTTTCCGCAGTGACAGGCTGCCTGACATCAACGCAGCCTCCCCTGTCGTATCTTCTCCTGACCTGTCCACGGCGGTGCCTCCTGCGCTTACACCTCCTGCGTCGGCATCCACAGCTTCACCATTTTCATCATATGCGGATATGGCTCAAAAAGTGAAACCGGCCAGCCCGCCACCTCAAATCACGCTGCCGTTGGCGCCGCGATCCGCAAGTGTCAACCCTCGCTCGAAACATGCGTCGCAGCGGCCGCAGACTCCGCAGCCAAAATGGAATCCGGGTCCCCGTGGCTATGACGAGCCAATCGACGTAAATCCCGTTGTTCTGGAGACTGTGAAGAAGCGGAAAGACAGCAGCAAGCTCTGCAATAACCACTTCCTCCGCGGCCCCTGCACGAAGGGGAACGACTGCACCTTTGTTCACAAGTACAAGCCGACCCCGGATGAGATTGACGCAATCGCCTTCCTGACCCGCCTGAACCCTTGTACCTTGCTTCAGGATTGCGAAGCTGACGAGTGCATTTATGGACATCATGTGAGTTTTATCAAGTTTTGCTCCTCCTGTCGCCTTGCCGACGGTAGATGTAAGAGTCTTCAATTACTGACAGCATCTTCTTCTCCAGTGCCCAAGCGTTAAGGACAACACATGCACGCATCCGTTTTGCAAATTCCCCATTTCTTCTCATCCTCCCGGTACCAAATTTAAGAACGTACACATTGACAAGAATTAGAGATTGGGGGAAAGCCGAGGACACCTGCTAGACTCATATACAACACAAAACACAACCACAAAAGGGGAGAGAGCGTGGGGTCTGGTAGAAATAATAAGGAACTGTACGATTATAAAGATGGCGGTGAGGTATTCTGGGAAGTACCACCGAGCCAGAACTGGGGAGACGGATTTCAAGACTGGGTCAAATTGCTCTGCGAGAAACACACTAGGGAACGGACGAGTGCATCTTCACGGGACACGGCGGGCTGGTATGCCGATGTCCTTTTCTTTGCTTCTATGGGACGGATAGCCGGGTTCGGATCATTGGTTGGGGGCTCGATCCTGGGAGATCTTGCTATTTGGTTGCCCTTCATTTGACTTTGCGTGAACGGCTGTTCATGGTTCCATATTATGGTGGTAATACGTATACTGCTCGCGCACTTAGCTACTACAAATAGCTTCCTTGTGTTTGCATTTGGTTTTTCGAAACGGTGATGCTAGTAAACGGCGGATCTAACCCCAACCTCGATGTAAGTTATACTGTAGATTGTGCAGTCTGAAAGGATGTCAAGGTTGGTTGGACTCTCCCCACACGGAACTTAGCTTCGACCCCACCACATTTCCTACCCTAGAAATATCCAATTCCCCACCATCGAATATCAACGACACCTTTTCTTTACATCCCTCCACCACTTCCACCTCAACCAACCCAACCAGCGCCCACAATGTCGCACCCACGCGTAGAAGAGGTCTCCGACAGCGACCCCGACTCGGACCCCGAGGAGGTCGACATCGATGACTTCGACGACGCCGACATCATGCGCCGCGTAGAGCCCGCCGCCGCCAAACCCTTACCCCCAGCCTCTCGAGCAGCTCCCCCCACCCAGCAGCAGCAGCAACAGCAGCAGCCAGTGCACGTCCAAGACCGCAACGCCTACATCAACTACCAGTGCCTCTACCCAATCTACTTCGACGCCTCGCGCTCCCGCTCCGAGGGCCGCCGCGTCCCGTCCTCCCTCGCCGTGCGCAACCCCCTCGCCCGCGAGATCGCAAACGCCTGCTCCCGCCTCCGCCTGCCCACCCTCCTCGAGCCCGACAAGATCCACCCCCAGGACTGGGCCAACCCGGGCCGCGTCAAGGTCGGGCTCAAGGCCGCGGGGGCGCAGGCCAACCAGCCCTTGCACAACAAGCACCACCTCTTCATCCTCGTCGCCCGGCACCTGCGCGACAACCCCACCACAGACGACAGCCTGGGCCTGCGTGTTCGTATCGGCGGCAAGCTCGAGCCCGAGATGGGCAAGCCGTACCCGCGGCCGGCTGTCCCCCGAGGATGGAAGCTCGGCGAGCTGCTGCCCTACACCAGCGCCGCCATGACGGGCGGCGGGGTGTCGGAGAACCTGTTCAAGGACATGATGAAGGAGATGCAGAGCGGAGGGGATCCCATGTCCGCGCTCATGGGCGGCATGGGCGGCCCTAGTGGTGGTGGTGGTAGCGGCGCCGGCAGCGGGGCGGAGGAGAGCAGCGGGAGCGGGAAGAAGAAGAAGGACAAGAAGAAGGGCAGGGCTTGAACGGAAAGCTAGGACCTTGTTGTTTCCTCTTCCTTTTTGGACTGAAATGTGGGAATGACGAACCGTATCAGCCTCTGAACAACTTACCAGGCTCTTGGTATGGGATGGGACGAATCCCCAAGAACCAGACCTGAGGCCGCCCATTGGGGAGCCATGGGCCGTCCTAGTGAGCTTCATTCATCAGCCGATATACGAACCATATGCAACTTTTACGGAATTTGCAAGATGAGATAGATATTCGGTTTTTGATAGAAGAAGAAAGCTACTCGCTTGATATTGCCTAGTCTAGGTAGAAAATAAAACATACTGGACAGAGGTCAACAGCAGAACTGAATCATGAGAAACAAAAATATGGGATGTAGAGAATTAAATACAAATCGCAAGTTGGAGGTGTAAAGTCTAAGTAAGGGGGGGTATATACTATCCCTTTCCTCGCTCCCAATGTGTAATGAGGTCTTCTTATTCTTCTTCGTAATCATCATACAACTGTGACCCGACTCTGCAAAGCCTCCCACTCTCGTGATCCTACAATGTGCACACCGCCCCGAGCGCCGCTGGTCATCTTCTTGCCGTCCGAATCGGGCAGCCTGATCTGCAGGAGCGCCGCGGGCTTGCGCTGGGCGGAATCGGCCTTCCTCTCGCTCCCGGACTTGAGCATCCCCGCCTTCCTCACCACGGCGTCCTGCCAGCCCTTCCAGGCCTCGTAGTCTTCCAACTGCTTGGCCGCGTGGTACTGGGGCGTCGACCTCGCCGGCCTCCACGCCATCTTGTCCTTGGGCAGGGTCTTGAAGTCGAACAGCGTGGCGGTGGAGGTCATCTTGACCAGCTCGCCGAGGACGTCCTTGCCCTCCGAGGCGACCAGGGCCTTGCGCTGGTCCGCCACCCGGGCCGGCTTCACCAGAGGCTCCGCCAGCCAGTCGAGCTTGGGCTGCTCCGTCATGCGGGCGCGGCGGCTATCCTCGCGCAGGTACCTGATGGCGGATTGCAGGCTCTCGATGTTCTTCTTGAGAGTGTCCACCTCCTTGGCGTTGGCGTGGGCACGCTCCTGGCCAGCCTTGGCCCCCGCCGCGTCGGCGCCGTCCGCAAAGGCCTGGCTGTCGCTGGCAATCTTCTTCCACTTGTCGCGCTCGGCCTCCAGGCTTCTGAGCTCTCTGTCTTGCTTCTCGATGTCCTCCTTGAGGCTCGAGACTTGCTCTCCTGAGGCCTCGAGCTCGACCTGCAGGTTGCTGATGCGGTCAATGTTGGCCTGGGCATCGCGCATCCTGGCTTCGAGCGTCTCGATCTTGACGCTTGCCGTGCTGAGATGCTCATCGCGCAGGGCGATGGTGCGTCGAGCCTCCTGGTGCTCCTCCTTAACTTTCCTGAGCTCCTCTTCGGCATCGACGGGCACCGTCCTGAGGTTCTTGAGCTCCTCGGATCGCAGACGCCAAGGAGCAGGGCTGACGTCGAACTCTTGTGCCTGGTCAAGATCCGTCGCGACGGCTGCCAAGTCTGAAATTTGGCTGCCGGCAATGCGAAGCTTGTTGAGGTACTCTGAGAAGGTATCGGACTCGTTCGCCGACACTGCCGCCAGGACTGTCTTCTGGATGGCTTCTTGGATCTCGATGTAGGTAAATGGTTCCGACCGCGACTCGTCCTTAGTGAGAAGGCCGTGAACACCAACACCAATCTGGCGAGCGAGGCCTGCGAGTTCCTCGGTCATCGACTCGCATTGCTCAAACGCCTCTCTGGTCTCTGGCAGCAGTGAAAGTGATCGGTCCTTGAGTTCCTCGAGAGCCCTCACAATCTTGCCAGCGATGACCTTGGTGCCTCTTGTCTGTGTGATCGCCAGGTCTGTCCTCTTAGCAAAGTGCTGGGCCAGCTCATCCTCCTCTCCTTCCGAAGGCACAGCCCTCTGTGCCATGTCCCTCACGGTAGTGAAAACCACAGCGGCGGATTCTAGGTGGCTCTGGATGACAAGAGACTTGGTATGTAATTCATCCGCAAAGCTTGGCAGCTCGTCAACGATATGGACCTCGGCCAAATGCGTCATGAGAGCCATGGTGCGGTGAAGCTCATCAGCACACTTCTGCACCTTAAGCTCGTCGCGACGAAGGCCGTCAATCCATGAGTTGAGAGCCCGCTCTACTGGCTCCAACTCATGAAGAGCATTCTGGTACCTGGTAAACTGCTCAATAGAGCAATGGCTAATATTGTTGACGAAGCGATCGCACGTCGAAGATACCCAGACCAGCTTATCAAGAGCATCGCAGCCAGCAATGGTGTCATCTTCGTGGCCAGGGTCGGGCTTACCGTTGACACGCTCCTTGATAAAGCCGTTGAGGAGGCTTGCCTTGAAGGCCAACCGCTTGAATCGGAGAAGAGCCAGTACAGAGTCCTTGTCTTCCTTGTAGGTATCTGGCAGGAAGAGCTTGACAATTTCAAGGTGCTGCTCAGCCTCCTGTGCCTCGAGTCGTCGCAGCTCCAGGTCAATAGTCTTGGCCTGTGCCTTGGCAGCAGATATCTGGAGCTTCATGTTGAGATCCATCATTGCGCGAGAGCGGTCGTTGAGCTTCTCAGATTCGCCCTCTGTGACCGCCTGAGATGCTCGCATGTCTGCCAGGTCGGTTTGCAAGTTTGTAACGAGCTCACGGAATCGAGACAAGGTGTATTCGAGATCACCAAGATTCTGGTCTTGCTCAGCAGATCGACGGGCTTGCTCTGCAATAATGGCGTCTCGGAAATCAACTTCCTCCTGAAGCTCCTTCTCATTCTGGACATGGTTCGCTTCGAGCTCGTCGCTAATCTCCTTGAGACTTTCAAGGTCATCGACCACCGCCTGAAGCTCCTTGACCTGCTCCGAAAGACTCATGTTTCGCTCACTGAGGTCCTCGATGATGTCCTCGGCCCCAAGGGCATTGTCGAGCTGCTGACGAAGGTCCTCAACAACCGCCTCGCTGTTAGTCAATTTCTCGGCGGTTGCCTCGTGGATCTCCTTTATCGACGTCAATTCCCTCAGCTCCTCCTCGAGCCCGGCAATCTGCTGCTTGAGCTGTTCCTCTGACTCCTGCGTAATGTCTCTGAGCCTGAGAAGAGCCTCGCGTAATCGATCGTTGGTTCGTTCCATCTGAAGCCATCCAGTGCCGGCACGTTCCTCGGGGGTCATCCCGTTCTGGAATTCTTCGTTCTCCTCGCGGAGCACCTCGACTTCGAGTTCTAATTCTTCCGCCTTCAGCTTGAGAGCCTCCAAATCGCCCTTGAGCACTTCGGCAATTTCCTCTGCCATTTCCCGGTCGAGGGCAGCAAGCTCGAGCTGAGACTCGTGCTCGGCCTGCATCTCTTCCACCGACTCAAATTTTGCCTCTGCCTCCTTCATCATTTTACGTAGCTCATTGTTCTCCTCTTGTAAAGGCTGGTACTTTTGCTGCAGTTTCTGCACCACACTCTCGTACTTGTCTCTCTCGCCCTGAATCTGCTCAAGCTGTTTTAACTTGTCCCGGTCCTCGATCCGCTTCCTTTCTAAAATCTTGATCTTCGATTTCAAATCCTCGATTTCTCTGTTTGCCGCTGCGACGCTCCCGGTGGCCCGCGGGGCGCCCACCGTTGAGCTCACTCTCCTTGCTCCTGACGCCGCCGACGGACCTGCCGTGGCGGCAGTAAGCCGCTCGACAGATCTGGCAGCCACGGGGCTTCTCGGCTGGGGCGAAAGAATCTCCGTCTTAAGGGGGGACATGGCCCCCGTCTCATCTTCCCGCCCGCTGTCTCTCCCAGCCTGCGAGTCGCCAGAGGGCCTCCTGTTCTGCTCCGTCCTCGACGTCGTGCGTTGCCCCACGAGGGACGTGCGTCCGCTGGCGGTTCTGGTCAGGCCGGTGGTTGTTGTGCGGGCGGGGGCTCCAGACGATACTGCGCGAGCGGTGCGAGAGGCCGGCACAGCGGGGGGTCCCATAGACGTCCTCGTTGCTCCCACGGACGGGCGAGATCTCGATGCAGCCGAGGTCGTGCGGGCATTCGATGGGGTGCCGGTACGAGAGGTGGATGCGCTCGGCGGACCGCTGAGCAGCTGCTTCGTCGGGGATTTCGTAGGAGACTAGGGAAGGGAACCACGTTAGCAATCGTAGAGTCGCACAAACACCAGGGCAAACTGCATCATTGTGCCAAAAGACCACACGCCAATGCTTCCTCCACCTAACAACTCACCCTGACCATGCTCGACGGCCGGGACGTCTTAGGCACCGGGCTCGGACTCGGGGCATTAAGGCTCCTCCTTCTAGTCAAGCCAGCATCGCCACTCGTGGAAATCCTCCCCGCAGTCGGGTTGAAGCTGCTGGGCCGACCACTAGGCTTCCGAGCTGCTGCGGGCTTCGCGGCGGCGGGCTGGGGCTCGATGATGGTGGCCATCATGGGCTTCACGAACATGCCGTAGCCCATGGGGCAGTCGAAGTAGCGCTGGCCCTGGACGCTACCGTCGTTCTTGCCCGTCTTCTCCTCGAGCTGGACACCGATCCATTCTCCGACCTGGAAGCTGGTCTGGCCCACGAAGCGGACGGTGGCTCGGCGGTCATCCTGGAGCTTGACCTTCTGCCCTATCTTGAAATCTGGCATTATAACGGTAGGTGGTCGGCGTCGAGCCGAGGGAGCATCGTGACGTCGTGCTCGTGGGTGTCAGGTCAATTGTCGTCGTGTGGTGGTGTATGGGGCCAAAGACGGAGACGGGAGGCGACGAAAGGTGCACGGTGGCTCTGCGTAGGATCTGCGTTAATGATAGACTGGCCCCGTGCGTGCGGACGGGCGTGGGTGCGTGGGCAGAGCTGCAGTATGTTGGATGCGTATATACATGGACGTTAATTAATATATAGGGAGTGTTATTTCATGCTGCTGCTGGTATGCGTCGTTGACGTTGTGGTCATTCGCTGGCAACGCGTCCGGGAGCGCGACAATAATGCAGCCGAAAAGCAACAGGGGTCCATCAACAGCGCTGCAGCTGCCCCTTTTCCCCTCACACGCTTCTGCAGTCAGATACG